CATTTATTTACAAGATGAGTATTATCGCCGCCTAAATTGTAGCGCAGTTCCATATATAAATAAATTCACTCGCTTTCAAATTGAGTAGGCAGATTTAATTAATATGATACAACAATAACACTTGAGTTCAACATAAAATTACATCTTGCGACATTTAACGGTAAGGGAAATTCGTGCGACATTTATCGTTAACATTGCGACATTTAACGTCAAATGGTTTTGCGACATTTAGCGGCGGTTGCGACATTTAGCGTCAATGGTGCGACATTTAGCGGCAAGTGCGACATTTACCGGCGTTGCGACATATAACGGCGCCACACGGCGCACCAACATAAGTTGGGTTAATTTAATACAAAAATAAAATTCTGATAAAAATGTACCCTTGTCATTATCAATAAAATTTCAAATGTAGCCATTTATAATCTTTGCTGAACATCTCGCTTTTGGCATTTTCAGATAAAATTTAATTTAAAGTCATTTATACAGAAAAGTGTTTCCATAATTTGATTATTTACCAGATAGATATATTTTCTTTGCACAACTACCTCAATATAGGTCGAAATTTATGTACTTTTGAGCGATTGATCGAAATCTCTACCTTCTTTTGTAATATTCACTTTGATGCAGCGACTTCCTTATAAATCACAACACGATAATTTTGTATGATAATGACATTTAATATTGACATTTAGTATGTTTGTTACAAATTTAGAATTTGAGTCAGAACGAGAAATATTCTATTATAAAGTACTAAAGATCTAATGGTAAAATATAATGATAGCATGTGATGTTGACAATATACGTACACTGCCATCAACACATAGAGAACACCTCCCCGCTACCGGTTACATATATATCTAGTGACAATCATACTAAATAAACACAATGATTTATATGATTGCTAGGAATCGCAGTTCAGTCGGGTATTAGAGAAAAATCGTGTTATAGATTCCTTGCAGAACAATAGAGCTTTTTTTCTTTTAAGACTAATTTTTGTTTCGTTAAAATGTTTAGTTATATATGCGCTTTGATAGGTTATATGACCTATTATAAATATTTGTTATATAACCCAAGTTGCTAGGCAATAGTTATACAGCAAGCAACCATTTATATTTGACGTTATAACATTCATTGTGGACTTCTAGTCATAGTTTTGAATGTGTTTTTCACAAAATTGTTTTTATTTTCGTATATCAGTAAGTCAAATTATGTAAGATAATGTATTACTTTAATCAGATCTATATAAAGATCCAAAATTGTTTTCCATATCATGCTTTTCTGTCGCAATGATGTAATATGTAACACATCATTAAATGGTGTGGGTTCAGACCCTGTCGGGAGCAAGCCGTTGTTTTCGTGAGCAAGAAACTTTACGCCTATAAATAAATAGCTTAGTAGGAATTGATTTGAAAGTGTTTCAATATGTTTTTACTTCAAAATCTTATCACGTGACCACACACACACACACACACACACACACACACACACACGCACGCACGCACGCACGCACGCACGCAGCACGCAAACGCACACACACACACACACATGCGCGCGTGCGCGTGCAAACTTGTTATTTGTTTGGGTCGTCAGACCAAACAAATAATGGTAGCGAAATTTCAGACTCTAATGCTGTTAATTGCAAATGCCGAAAGTAGTCCCATTTTTTGAAGCGGTTACTTCCCTTTATATGTACACCTACGCCGAAAAATTCAGGGGAGATCACTCCGTAAAGATGGTCAAATGGCAGGCGCATTAATTTTCAAGCAAAATAATTCCCGAATGGTCGAAGATTTCTAATATTGTTTTATTCTTTATAGATATACATACTTGTAGTAAGCTCCATGATTATTTACATCTGTAGCGTCGTTACAAACCCTAATTTAGATTAATATGGTTTTCTTCAGACATATAAATTCACCGTGGCCTAGGGGTTGGGGGTTTGCGCGCTCGCTTAGGAAGCGAGTGGTCTGGAGTTCTAATCCCAGTTAAGGCAACTCATTTTTTTTTCAAATTGTTTAAGTCAAATAATCATTGGATTGAATATCAGTGTCTGATGACTAATTTATTACAATTAAAACGCTGGAAAGCATTGGTGGCACTATACAAAAACAATTGGTTTATAATCTCACAACCTTCACCTTTCTGACATTCTGAGACCCAAACAAATTCAGCGCCTTCTGTGCTTTGATTTTTTAACAGTGTGATGTCAACTGACCCTAACCACTAACCTAAGCTTACGGTAATGCGTTCCCAAACCTAAACTTGACTTAATGTCTATACAATCTTGGGCTCCTAAACCTAATATGACTCTAGGAGGGAATGATAAAGTACATATTAGCACTTTTCTACATCACAATGTATGTTAAACCTCACTTTGCATTGGTAAAATTGACACACTGATATCACCAGGTTATGTAAATTCGTTCATTGTGATATTAATGAAGCTATAATTCACAACTTCAATGGAGCAGAAATTAAATCTAAAGTTCATAAAAATGCAATCTGAATTTGCTATATAATAAATATAGTACTGTTGAGGTATAAGTACTTTCATCTGACACAGAGTTTCAAAAATTAATTATCAAAATGGTGTAAATTATGTTAAATGATAGATGTTTGATGATCCATGTCGTTGATAGAGCATGTTTTTGAATGTCGAGCTAAGATGTTGGCTCTACTAAAATGAAAAGAAACTAGCAGGTATATTGAAATGTATTTATTAAATCTTCCCAAACATAATAATTATTTAGTTCGTTGAGTCTGAGAATATCAACAACTAAATTAGATATCATTACGGTTTAGCATCTTATTTCAGTTACAAGGGAATACTACAAAAGGTGAAAAGAAGAATAGTTAATGCACTGAATTATTTTGTCGTCCAAAGCGATACGTATATATCAATCAATTGGTTCGACCTTACAAGTGCAAGGCGCCAGTGATTCAAAGTCAGTGTAGAGATATGGTCTTAGCAAGTTGTTACATGGCTTTTTAAATTATTTTATAATCGTATCGAGAGACTTTTTATTAAGAGAAGAATCACAATAGTTCGTCAATTCTTTACAAACTACATCCTGCTTCACAACAACTACGTCAAACCCTTAAATCTGTTGTCTCTTTTTCAATCTGCTTCTGTGATTTCGTGTAGTGGAAGATTTACAAAAATAAGTGGGATTTAAATGCTGCCATAAACATATGTTTTGATAGCTAACACTTTCAATATTTAGATTTGTATGTGTAGTACCGATTGTAAAAGCTGGCATATCAAATTTGTGAGACATCTATTGTATATTGTATTTCTGTCCCAAATAATTTTATTCTTAGAATAGCATTGGGCCGTTTCCTTCTGAAAAGCAGTGGCGACAAATCTTACAAAACTGTGTTATTAAGGGAGAGAGAAAACTTCATTGGTGAATAAACTGTCAATTGTTTTTGGCGACAAACCCTAAGAATCTACTATGCGTCGATAAATGTTCTTCTTTGAAAACCATTCTCGTTATATGAAAGATAATTATATGAGAAAAGCCGGCTTGTTTATAGTTCAATCAATCAAAAAATATTTTTTTGAAACAATCCATCGGACGCTGACCTAAGTGTAAGACAATTTCATTCAGTCACATGTTACATAAACAACGTCTAGGACTTTAGCATACGATTATTTCAACAATTGACTTTAAAGCTATATACAATTTGTCCAATAAGATGCTCATAATCACTCAGATTATCGACATCCAACGATGACAAAGGTCTTACAATGCAATTTTCAAGCTCTCTGACATCGCAATTATAACCAAATAAACAGGTAAGCAGTACAGACAGTACTTTTGGTTTTTTTAAAACTCAATAGTTAATACATTGTATATAAAAATGTACTTTTACTTCTTTATCTATAAATTCAATTAACTGAAGTCGACTTGTGCACGATATTATCGCATGGTTTGAAACTTTTTCTATATTATACTCGCTCTCATAGTACACTTTCAATGAGCATTTGAAAACTGTATTGATATATAATAGTGCATTTTTTTTCATTGATTCATATAGGAAAAACTCAACTAAAATATCACAGTTGAGTTTTTTTTGCACTTTGTATATATCAGTGTAGTTTTTTCTCAGAGGCTCCAATGGGGCAGAGTAAACGAACATTCCCAATAGCAAAAAAATAATAATAATAAATAAAACTAAGATTAATTAAATAATATAAACAAAGATAATTAATGAAATGGAATTTATTCTCTTATATACAACTGCTACAAATCCGCTGAATGAATTGATTCCACTGGAAAAAACACCCTTTATTCTTGAATCAACATTACCTTCTCGTCAAGATAAAAGTTTACACTCCGTCTCTAACATTGGATGTCTTAAAGTTTTCAAGGGTGGTATATCTTGTTTTAATTCTTTTTTTCTTGTTTGTTTGTGTGTTTTTTGTTTTTGTTTTTGTTTTTTTGGTGTTTTTTTTGGTGATTTTTGCAGCTGCAGCGAAAGCAACTTCAAACAAATGCCTTAAAATAGTTGTACGACAGCATTAGCTGGTTTTGATCCATTTAATCTCGGGTTTCCATTTGAAACAAAAGTGAAAGGGCACAAGACAGAGAAATGCACATGTTTTTTTTTTATTTGCTGATTTCTATTACAAAAAATATGAAATTGCGATAAAACAGTTATAATATATGAAACTAGTTAGTTACGGGGGTATAACACTGGCTGGGGCGACATCTCTGGATGTTTCTGAATTATTTTTTTTTTAGCAGAAACATTCCCTCAATGTCGCCCCAGCCAGTCTTATATCTTCGTAACAAACTCGTTTCATATACTATAACTATTACAAATGAAATTAACTAACTCAACGAAAACCAACATTTACAATACATACTATTTGTTTGCATGTTTTACATGTAGGTAAGGTCCGTTCTGTGAATTGAATTAAGGTCCTTATAATTATCAAGATTGAAGGGAAAGGCCGAACATTGCGATTGCTAGTTTTGTTATTGAAAACAACATTTTGAAAGATAGAGTACTTTTATTTGGTAAGACAAAATAATTCCATAACATTGTTGTTACAAATTAACATTTTTTTATATTTTTTATTAACTTAATGTTTATTTTTTTAAAAATGAATTTCATCAACACAACACAACTAAAAAAGAAATGAACAAATTTTTAAGATGCATTCTTCAATAATTACAGTTTTGAATAGTTAGATGTAGAGAAATATAGAGTTTGTCATCTTTAACATTTTTAAGAATGTCTGCATACTACAGAGATAACGTATCTGCTTTACATGAGGAGAACACACACCAATATGTGCTTTGTGCCGCTGCTGACATCTTCCTTGCTGAAATGTAAAAACAAGAGAATGTTAAAAAAACAATAAATGTACATGTCTAGCTTCTATTATTAGATCTGTCCTTTGGTCATTCAACAGTATATATAATCTGGTCCAATCTGAATAACGATCAGATCTGTGTATGATTTATAGCGTAGCATTTTCTATATCTCTTACCCTGCTGTCGACAACTAATCTACTAATAGGAACAGTACATGTGAAGATAAGCCGGCATATCCGTGCCGTCAGATCATGGTCCTCGGATGGTACTTATTTTTAAATTCTCCTATAAAGATGAACATTGATGTCCAGATTGAGAACTGAACGACCTCATTTGAGATATTCAGTGTCGATAAGGTTTTATCACATGAGTCAGGTCAGACTGTAGGCTTGCAAGGCACAAGCGTGTTCTTTTGACCTCTAAGTATGACCTTGACCATTGTAATTTAAGGCATCGTTCATGCGATCGGCAAAACCCCTCTATGCATGTCGTAAATATGCTCTGGACAAAACAGAAATACTGCCTTGACATCGTCCGCCAGCACCCATAATACGTCCGGTTATTTTTAAAAGGACTATAATATAGAATATATGTGTTACCGTGTGGCCAGGTCTTGGCCGGTTTGACTGTTGCCAAGTAAGTGTTATAATCGGCACAGAAAGAAGCTATGTTTTCACCAGCAAGTTCCAAGACTTCCTCCTTCGTCATTTCTTCTTCGTTTATGTCTAACTCGTGATGTTTGACGTTATACGTCAGACCCTGTAACACACATTGGAATTCAAATTACATTTTTTTCCCACATGATGATAAGATTTCTATTGATTTTATTCAACCGTTTCAGCTAAGTCAAACAAACATTGGACAGTCACAACTGACAGGTAATGAATATGAGTATGCCTATATGTAAATTAAAACATAATTATTTTTTTTCTGTTTTGTTATAATGTCATGAAAGAAGAGATTTCTCGAAATCAATGAAAACAAAAGTGAAAGGCAAAAAATGCAAGTTCGGTTTGATTGAATTTGTTCTGTTAGTTTAGCTCATAATATGATGAATTTCAAGCTTTAAGTGGTGGAAGAAAAACTGGTTTCATTGGAAAATCAGCTACAACGTACACCTTGTTTTATAGAAGGTCTTGGTGTAAAGGATATGCTCTATTTTGTTCTGTTTTCCGTATTTAATTTACATCGCTCTTCGTTTTCCCTCCCATCTAGCGATCAGTAAGGAAATGGATTCGAACCAATAGTGGTAAAGTACAAATGATGTGAAGTAAGCTACTTTAATCACTGAACCCCTTCTTTTTTCTAAACAATAGTCTACATTTGTTTGAACATGATTGTATATATAAGGATAATAAGCTGTACGAAACTAATTTCTCGTTGACATCTACTATTTCCATACAAATAAATAGAAAACATTTTTAGTTTACTTTTCTTGTTTATCAAAAAGCGATGTAAGTAAAATAATATAGCCTACCACTTTGTACATGTCCTCTGTTGGTTGCTTTAGTGTAGATTCCGCCAGGAGACACATTTTCTTGTTGATATCTTTCAGAACACCGTAATTCTACAAATAATCAACCTCGTGAAAGAAATTGTTTACATTATATATTTTTTTTTAATTATTGATCGAGTTCTCTGGGTATATTGTTATGATTTGCAATAACTTTGTGTCTGACCAATTATAAATTTAAAAGAAAATGTTGTTTATTTGATATCTATGATCACTTTGGTCTCGTATGTAACGAGCCTGTACATAATGTCGGAGCAACATGACTTTTATTTTTCTATAAAGTAAACCTCACATATTTTGTATGACTGATACTCGATTCTCTTTTTCGTAGAGATAAGGTTCACTTACTTTGAAGCGAAGAAGCTAAACGCATACGTATTTTTTATTTTTAAAAGAATATATTATGTTGTTGCTTTCTGCGGTTATTCGTTGAATTGTTTTGAGATATACATGTTTAAGAAGATTTATGGGTATATTTTGAATTTGATATATATTGTAAGCACAGCTAGTAATTACCGTGTTGAAATCGTGCAGATTTACGCTATGCCTTCCGTTCTTGTACATGGAAACGTCTCCGATCACAGTTAGAACTGTATTCCTCTCTGTATCACGTGTGACATCCATAGAAACCTTTCGACCATAATGGTCTATTTCGATCAGGTGACTTGTCTGGAAAAAGAAAAACCAAAATAAAAATCATAAAGAATTTATAAACTGATTTACAGTTAAATAAGCAATAGGCCTATTATTTCTTTTTATCGGCCAAAAAAGCGAGCAAGTAAATATCAACATGGGCATTTTATAATTATCATAAACTGCATTTGTCAGCCTTTTTGTATGTGATCACGTGACATTTCATTTCGGTAACGAGATCGTTAATGGCCGTGCCTACTAAAAGGCCCAATACCCCTAAAATGTTTTTTTATATATTTTTCATTTTTAGGCTTTCTTATTTTAGGTGTACTTATACAGTTTTCAAATTTCAATGGCAAATTATTTTATAGTTTCTTCTAATGCTTTTTGACAATTAGTACAGTTAAAGTGATGTTTTGTTTTTGTAGGGAAGTAAAATTACTTCTTTGTTTACATTTTGCTATAATTAACTTTCGGAGCTGCCTTCATCAGGTAACAAGCATCTTACATGCTCTAAAACCATTGTTTAAACGTTATAGATTCTTGTAATACAAGACTACTGCAACCGTCACACATAATAGTGTGAGTTTTAGCTAATGAAATATATAAATTCTCGTAAAGTAGACGGATATTACGGAGTCTAGACAGGATTCAATGCCAGCTATCGTTTTCATGCATTTATTTGGACAATATCATGAGATATAGACTGTTGTTAATCCAGTAAAATAAAACAGTCATATAAAATTGTACTTACTATAAGAACTCCGTCAACACATAGCAGGGCAAGTAGCACTGAAACTGCTCCGACCAACTTCATTGTTAATCTACTGATAGTTTCTGAAGTACAGAAAATAAGACAATTTACTTTATTCAGAAGTTTAAGTATCTCACACGAGGATCTAAGAATTCTACACGGGGTTTTCTTATTGATGTGGACACATTATTCCCTCCCACGTTAAATATATTTAATGCACTTGTCCAACTTTCAATATAGAAAAGATTCATTATTTTTAGGAAAATTTCGAAACATTTATGCGGACAGTGCAGACAGTGACCAGACAGCACGGCTTATCTTGATCTGCACTGGCAACACATCTTGCCGACAATAGGCTAAAGGTTAAAAGAGTCTGAATCAAAGGCCTGAAGGTCCATAATGGCTTACGGCAGAGCTTTTTTTTCAAGCATCTAGACTTTTTTCACTACAAGTTTCAAATTCAACTAGTTTTTATTTTGATAATTTTCAAAAAAAAAAATTCTTGAATTATTTTTGTCATTGATATAGTCAAGATAACTTTCAAATTCAAATTTATTTTTTATAGAACTGTATGGATATAGACGTCTAGAATTATTGATAGAACAACACCAACTTTGATAATAAATATCTAATATGCGTCGTTTAATTATATTATAGTCAATTTACATGCTAAATTAGTTTTGCCAAATATACGGAAGTCCGCAAGTACCAAGTAAAATTTTAATTTGATAAACCCAATTACATTTATTATATGTGTTGCTTCCTTCAACATCACCTTTTAAGCATGTGATAGGTTTTGAAAAGAAGCGATTCTTTCTTTGAAGTGCTTTAATATTCAATTTACTTTATCGAAACGGTATCTATCGGAAAAATAAACAAACGCCTAATTACGATAAAATCGCCAAAAGTAAAATCGGTATAACCGTGCATATCCAGTAACGCAGGAATGAGCAGTTGTCGTAAAAGTAACACCGAATCTGTGCAACGTTTTTGGCAAAACGAATAACACAGTAAGTAAACGATCAAAAATATTTTATTCTAAATCAAATTTAAAGAAATAAACTAGCGCATACAGCTGCTACTACATTATACTTTAAACAGCATTACATTTTTTCAGGAATTTATTTACTTTCTTAGATCATTCGTGAGAAAGACAACCTGATTACCGTTTTGAAGCCGTCTTTTGTGTTTCGTCAAATAAATATGTACATTTAACACATTTAAAACTTTATTTTTTTTCTTCATATTTTGTATACCCAAGACATTTGTCAAACTACAAGTGTCGTATAACAATAGAAGGAATCTGGTAATATAGGATTTACCACTTTAAATGAGATAACCGCAATTGCTTAAGTGCTTCGTTCACGAATTCGGCGTTACCTCGTAGAAATGGTCTCAATTACGTTTTTTTTGTGTGCTTAATTTAATGTAATATGGAGATTGGAAAATGTCTCAGGTACATCGAATATAAAAAATCATAAAGTTATATGTATGTTACTGTATTTAAAGATATCAACGAAACTAAAAGTCGCCATCAATACAGCAGTCAGGTCGTCATTTTCACGAATGATCTTGAAAAATAAACATTATCATGGAAATATTTGTGATGAGGTTTAAAGTATAATGTCTCAGCAACCGTATGCGCTAACTCATTCCAATAACTCTTCCAATTTGGTGTACAGTAAAAATATTGGTCCATTTACTTATCGCAGTGCTAGTTTTGCCCACTTAATCGCCCAATTCTGCGTTACTTTTGCACAATTTCTGCCTTATTTGCACATTCCTGTGTTACTGGATATACACGGTTATATAACGATGTGAAATAAAACTCAACAAGATAAATAAAAGGTTTGATCATTTCGTACAATGTTGTGTTTTTTATGTTAAATGAAAAGAATTCTATGAGCATCCAAATTTCTAACTTCAAAATTAATTTCAGAGACTGCTGGTACATATATAAAAAGAAATATTCTTAAATTAAATAAATGAAAATAAAAAATAAAACATAATAATAAATAACTTACATTTGTCGTTTACTTTCTTTAGACTCTTCTCCGTATTACTTACAATGAACGATGCGGTCCTTTTTATATACAAAAGAAATCTCAGTCAAGCGAATGGGGCGGTTCTATGATGCCTTTGAGTGCCCATTTTAGGACCAATATGAGGGTAAAAGGAAGTTATTGACTATTTTGTTTACCGTGACCGAAATCTGCCTTTTTTAACCTGCAGTTAGTAAAATTGAAAAATACTACATGTACTGTATGTTTTGTATTATGACCTCTATATCACTTTACTTTTATTATTATGTTTGTTTGATTTAAAGCTGCACGCCTCCAGATTCATGCTAATTTTCATGAAAATTTTGAAAATGTATTAGAATGTGTAATATTATAAAGTAACCAAAAGGAAGCAATTTACACATTATCAATGGCACTTACAACCCACGTAAATTACCAAACAGTGGTCAAAATATGCTTAAATAGCCTTTACTGCGCAGTAGAAATATAGTTGTAAATACTGAAAAATCAGTCATTAATCACACATAACATGTAAGAAACTACTTGAATCTTGATTTTTTTTCACTTTTCCTTACATCTTAGTACAATTTTCTCAAGTTTGATTTTATTGAAATATTTTGACTCATCTGTAGGCATGTAGCTTTAAGTCACGTTATCACTGTAAAGACCATAAAACCACTCTCCAGATTTACTGGTAGAATGGACGTTCACTGCTCCTGTCCTCTTCTTCTTTCTTCTGTTTTATTTCAGGCTCCAACGTGTACCGGGAATCTCAACTGCTGCCCTTCCATAAATTAGCATGGTAACGACTTTATAATCGTTCCCGAAGCGGGAAAGCATATGAGCCGCGTCACGACAAAACCAACATAGTGGGTTTGCGACCAGCATGGATCCAGACCAGCCTGCGCATCCGCACAGTCTGATCAGGATCCATGCTGTTTGCTATCAGTTTCTCTACTTGTTATAGACTTTGTAAGCGAACAGCATGGATCCTGATCAGACTGCGCTAATGCGCAGGCTGGTCTGGATCCATGCTGGTCGCAAACGCATTACGTTGGTTTTGTCGTGACACGGCTTATATAATCGAGGCCTGTCTGTCTGTCCTTTCGTCCGTCCGTACGTCGCGCACTCTTTGAGTGAATATCTTGTAAGTACCTTGAAAAGGAATGAAGGAATTTATTAAATTTTTACACAGTGTAAATACTTCTGAGAGAAAATTAGATGTTTAAGAACAATAACTATCTTTATTTATTTTTTTAGTTATCAGTTTTTAACTATATTTTATATTTAGTACGTATGTAGAAACTTTGGTTCTGTAATAATATTTTGAAGTAACGGGACAGTGTGGTACTAAAGTCTAAGTTACTGGTGCTAAAAAATATTTTACAGTTCTGCTCATGCAGCTTTTATTTATTGACTGACGTCTTTGGTAGGTACATACTTTCTGTTGCCCTCTAACTTGAGTGAAGTAAGGAAGACAGGGGTGCAAAAACAATTATAATGCATTTACTCTCATGCTTACGCAGGTTTTATTGACATGTGCATTGAATACATTGACAAATGTACAGGTTCATATGATATTCTTATTTATAAATGTTTATTCTAGGAATAAAAACGTTTTTATAGGACAAATATGATTTTAGTAAATACATATATATTAACAAGTGTTGGTGGACCGGGGCTTTTCACGTGTATTTGAAGATGAAGTTGTAAAATGGTGTATTTTTGGATGTTATTGTTGCATTCAGACACTCAAACGGTTTGTACGATATTTCCCAATATGGCTAGAATCAGCGCCTGTATTGTGTTTTTGTACGAATAAGCGATTTACTCACCCCTGTGTAAGAGACCTAACGCGGCTCGCACGGCATGGTCGTTTCCGTAGACAAGGTTTCTTATTACCGGGTCCCAAAATAGAACCCAGGATCAGAACGCATATCTCATTTTAATGTGGTAAGAATAACGCCTCACATTCATTTCTTTGATAAAGTATTAAATAGAAAAAGATATTGCCCATGCTGATATCCTTTGATTACTTTATCTAATGATAATGTCACAGTTGCCAAAGTTTTGTTTACTTCCTAGAACATTCTCAACAAAAGAAACAGAAAATCACCAAAATCTATTTAATCGCTCTTTAGCAGACAATAATTTCAAGTAAGCAGTGGGGCGTCCGTGACCGAGTGGTTAAGGTCGTTTACCTCAAACCACTTGCCCCTCACCACTGTGGGTTCAAATCCCGACAGGGACTTTGGATTCTTTCAAGTGAGGAAGCTATCCAGCTAGCTTACGCAACGTCTGTGGTTCTACTCGCCTTAAATAATGCACGGAAGGGCACCTGAGGTCTTCCTCAACCAGTAAAGCTGGAACGTCGCCAATTGACCAAAGGATATTTTTGTCAATTGGCACTAAGGTATGGTGGCATTTTAAAGCTGCGATAAATTTTACCATCAGTTTATATAATGTCGTGGGCAACTTTTAAATCCGCGACATTTTATGTCGAAATTGTATAATTGTAGAAACTTTTACGTTTTTTTCTGTCACACTTCTGACGTAAAATTCGAGTTTTACGACGGAAATCGCGACATTTTCATATGCCTACTTTTGATGCATACCTTGTAAAAAGTCTAAAAAGTCGAGTTTGAGAATCACTCATATTAATTAAGGCCGGGAACGTTTATTTTAAAAAAATGTACTATGCTTATCATTGAGTAAAATATTTTGATCAGAGAAATTTACTGACATCTATGAAATTCTTACTGATTATGTTAATCAAAACGTGTTTTTCTTATATTTACAAAGAGAATATGTGGCAATTATCAATATTTTCTAATATCAAATTTAAGCATAGTATATTTTTAAAAGTCGGGCTACTTTTTTTTTTTAAATCGCGGATTTCATACCAGTGACTTCTTTTCTGTTTCTTTCTGTTTCTCGACTTTTTATTGACAAACGAGGAGTAAAATCTAGAGTCTAACAATTGACGTTACCGGCCACTGAAGTCAAAATATTCCTTGAAACTCCTTTTCTGGCCCCTTGACCTACTTATGCAACAGACCGTAACCATTTGAACAACTTTGCAGGGGACCACCCAATGATCTTTTCTATTTTGCAGTCATTGGTTTCAGAGGAGATGATGTTTAAAGCAATTGTTGTCGACGCACGACAACGGACGGTAGGGATCACAATACCTCAGGTGAGCTAGAAAGAGCAATAGATAGTGAATTTCTAAAAAAAAATGATCTCCATCAAATGTTATAAACGATCTTTAATTTATAGCTTAATGTTTATCATTTTGATATTCACTTCTCGTACATACTGGGAAGTGATCATTAACACATGTCTATATAAGGTATGGTTAATTTGATATGGCTAATTAATTATCATCTTGGTGTATGAAAGATTATCTAACTTTGGTTACACGTGTGGAATGGTAAAGCCAATTTTTTAAGGTAACTCCATACAATTTCTTTTTTTCTTTTTTTTGTAAATTGGTTTGTTTTCTTTTTATGTATGTACGTATGTATGAGTTAAGTCTCAAATAATATGAGTTTCATCTAGTAATTGTTCAAATGTGTTGATCAATAATTGACTACTATCCAGCGGCCAAAAGCATTATTACGAACGGTTTAAAGTTATTACAGATAGATTCAATAACTATGTACGACGCTTAATATAAGGTACTCTGTTGCAGAAATAGGTTAATTCCTCGGCCCTTTTAACAATTTCTGTCCTGCGTTTCACTACTAAAATACTCATTTCAATATAATTATTATTGATTTTTTCGGTCATAAACCCAAAATGTTTGCATATTTATTGTTACCTAAATAATACCGTATGTGATCAAGCCTATTTATGAACATGCATACCGTTTAAATGTGTAATATGGATGCCTCGTTTATTAAATAAAAAAATGTTCATGTCCTTCTTCCCCTTTTCCTCCTCCTCAACATCATCATAACTTAAAGTCCGTCCATTTTGCCCTGTTTGTCTAAGTGAATAATTCATATAATATTACATAATTATGTAATTTTACATTTATTTATGTATTGAATAGTTGACATAGAATATCATTTGACTAAAACTAAACATGTATGGCGGGACTCGAACCAAAAGTGGACTTTCTACCGTATACCGGTATTGTCGTAAACGATAGGAAAAATACCGGAAAAATATGCGTATAAGAAATCAAACTTATTTCAATATTTCAACCCGGACCCCTCCCCGCAGATTTTTTTTTTTTTTGACAAACCTGTCTTGCAAAATACGATAAATTTTTGTGAAACTAAACTTAGAGTTAAAGAACGCAATAAACAAAAGCCATTTTTATTGTCATTTACAAAACTTTACATAACATTTTAAGCCTATTATAGCATTCGGCACGATATGGCCAGTTATGTGTTGACGTGCCGTAAAAATCCAAACAAACAAACATCTTCTTATCTCGAAAAAATCTTCATGAACAAAAAAAATACGAATTGTTATCTTGTCCGCTATTAAGGACAGTGTATCAGGTATTCTTTTAAATGAAGTTTCAATAGTGTTTACCAGTCAGATATTTGTCAACGTGTTTTTTTTTTAATCCATCACGCAATCATATAATAAAACGAGCTCTTACAATGTTAGTAATGCAATGTTGTGCTTGTTTTTCTGTTTTTGTTTTTCTTTAAATATTCTATTGCTGCTGTATATAGTAATACCACAAACTTATCTTGACTTAAAGAATGTTACTATCCTTCCCTCTTCCTTATAAAGAAATGAATATGTTAACTAGTGCACATTATACTTGAAATTAAAAAAAAAAAACATTATCAGTGTCGCTAAGGTAAAATATACTTACTCAAATAAAATAATGATAAATGTTAAAAGTAAGTCAGATATAAAGGTATTATTTAAAATACCAATTTTCATAATGATAATAATAACAAGAGCAGTCGCCAAGCGTACCAAGCTCGACTCTTTCTTATTTCTAAAATCAAACAAATCTAGGAAGAATTTAATATAGTTGCTAAGGGTTCTCAAAGAGACATCATTTCTTGTATAAAAACATTTAGTGGTCTGTCCCTAAACTTGAAC